ACATGCAGAACTGAAGATGAAACATGCAGAATAACAGCTGAAACATGTAGAGTAGAAGCTGAAACGGTCAGAATAGAAGCTAAAACGGTCAGAATAGAAGCTAAAACAAGTGGAACAGAAGCTGAAAGCTAACAGAACCCTTACGAAAGGAAGCAAGATTAAAGCTTAATCTAGAAGCACATCAATGGCTAAAAAGAACAAACTGATGGCTACAAGCTTAAAGTAGTAGCAGCCAAGCTTAACATAGATGCTAGGTAAATCTAAAAGCTTTATATATCTAAACAGTGCACAATGCTGACTAAAAGTAGCAAGACGCTAGCTAAAATTGGCAAAAGACTCTTAAGTACAAGTACCAAAACGCTAGCTAAATTTAAAAATAGTAGCTTAATGGGGTGCAGTGCTAGCTTTAAGTAGCAAGTTAAGAGTAGCAAGAGTAGCTGAAGTAGCTTATGGCTAAATGTAGCATAGGAAGACAGAAATGGAGAGACTGCACTGAAAATGTGCTGCTTTTATCTGAAGCTGTCTTCTCTCAGAGAAATGTTCGATGAGCTAACTGAACCTTTTTGTTTCTCCACAGATGAATCTGCAGTTTGTTTTTATAGCGGTTTTATCTGCGGTCCTCGGTGGCAGCTGGGCCCAGCAAGGTAAGAAACAAACACAACCACCAGAGGTTTGTTCTGATTTCTATTTTTAGTGTTAAACTTCATAAATCAGTTTTCCCTCCTCGTCCACCGTCTTGGCTCACGGTGGGAGTTTTCGCCTCGCGGAGTGAAGTCATCGGTTGGTCAGCCGCCTGGAGCGTTTCCCAGCATGACTCGCTTCTCTGAGCTGGGAAGTGGTTCAGTTCCTCAGGCTGTGGCTGCTTTGAGTTGGTGAGAGAATGGAAACTCTGCTGTTGGCTCACGGGGACTCGTCTCTTTCAGATGTGAGCGCTTGCACCAAGGCCAACGCGCAGTCGTGCGGGGAGTGCATCCAGGTCTCGGAGACGTGCGGGTGGTGCTCCGACGAGGTGGGTTCACTCAGTAAAACCGACTTAAAGTCATTTTGTTCCGAACGAGCCCCGCGCATCAACCGCTCACTGAGTGGGCTCGATGGTTTAGGTTTCCATCACTCAAGATGTAGCTTTTAGCACATTTTTACTGTTTTGTGTAAAAAAAAAAGTACACATTTTAAAACCCAAGGGGTTAAAATTTAAATTTGTCTTTTGTACAGATTATTTGCTTGTGGGAGGAAGAAAGGGAATAAAACTTTAAACAAATTTAACTTTTTTACCAGAAGTGAATAAATCAAACCACATTTTCCTGGAAACCAGAAAATCTTGCAAAATAAATTGCAGTTTTGTACTTGCAGCATCGCACTAACATGTTTTATTTATTTTTTCCATCACTCACTGGTCGACCGAATCCTGCAAGTCAGTACGCAGCAAGTATTTTATTTTGATAGTCTCGGGCTGCTGGCCTGTTGGATCCTGCCAGATGCCGACGTGATATTTTCCTCGGAGCTTCTGAAATCTCAGCTCAAAGTTGTTTTGATTCCATTTCCTTTTTTGGCTGCTCTTTTTTTTTTCCAGATATGGTCAAATAAGTGCAGTACCAAGAGTCTTTATTGAAAGAAACGTCCCAAAATTAAATACTTAAGTCTTTTTCAGCATCCCTTTCCCTCGAACGAAGGGAAAATCTCTGCCAACTCTACTTTTTTTATTATTTTTCTCTCATATTTTAAGCGTGACTTGAGAAAAGAAGACGTTAATCGTGTTGGGTCACATCTTTTTTGTTATGACTAACTTCATTGTCTTAATCTCTTTTCTCTGCTGTGCCTCATTAGATTCAGGTGGATCCAATCTGCAGCAGATTCCAACTAAACCCCCTCTCTCCAGTTTTTGTTTCTCCTCGCCGCTCATTAAGAGTCGACAACGAATCAGCTTCTCTTCAAAGGCTGTTGTAAAATGATTTCAGTGGCTCCAGGCCTCATCGCAGATTCTTTGCACTTTAAGAGATGAGTCAGTTTAAGAAGAAAAATAGCACAGCTCAATATTGTTCTTGGTCTAAATACAGATTTAGGCTTTTGGACCCAGGAGGCAGCGAATGGGAATCGTTTGAACCGTTCTCGGCTGAGCCTACCTGCTCCTTTTCAGGAACTTCCCAGATGTTTATAAATGAATGTGCTGGTTAAATTTAGCTTTTGTGGGGAAACTTTTCCAAATATATTAAAGGTTAAGACACGGTCAAGGCTGTGTTTTCTTCTTTCTATTTTTATTTAGTCCCTTTGACCACAAGAAAAGTAACTGTTTCAGTGTGGGAAGAGTTTGAGGCGTTGGCAGATCATAAACCCCTTTCCAAGATTGTTTAGACCATATGTGTCAATCTCAAGACCCGGGGGTCAAATGTTTGGTTAAATTCTCCACTTCCTGGTGACCGCAGACTGTGCTTTACTGCTCAGTAATCATAATTTATATTTGTCAGCCTGCTTGAAATATCTGTACTACACTGAAACCTGGACTTAAATATGTCGCCTGTTTAGGTGTCAGCTGGTGATTTAAAAATAAAACTTCGGCTCTAGTAGCTGAATATAGCCATAGCTTCAGCTCGTAATGTAAGTTTAACTCTTGTTCACTTGGTCACTACTTCAAAATGGAAGACCTGCTGTTGCTCGTGCTAATTAGCACTTAGCTATGGTGCGTTCGTGGACTATAAAAGGTCGGATTTTTGAGTTTTGGATCAGCCAGCTGACTCCCAACAAACGAATAAAGAGATTAACCTTTTTGAAATAATTTTTAAAAATCTCTGATTATTAGATACAATATTTCTTTAACAGCCTTTTTTTCGTTACAGAAGTTCCTGTCTGTGGGTGAGCCCAAGTCGGCTCGCTGTGACGATCTGAAGCGTCTGAAGGAAAGAAAATGTGACGAGAAAAAAATCGAGAACCCACGTGGACGGGTTGTCGTTAATAAAGACACACCAGTCACCGTTCGAGGGAACGAGAAGCTGACGCCTGAGCAGATCACCCAGATCCAGCCTCAGAAACTCACCCTGCATCTCAGATCTGGTAACAAAAAATACCGTGACCCCAGCCCAACAGATCTGGCTTCTGTTCTGGAAAGCAACTCAACAAATCATGCTTCTAAGAAAAGTCCTTTTGGTCTTTCAGGTGAGCCGCAGACCTTTAAGCTGAAGTTCAAGCGTGCTGAGGACTACCCCATAGATCTGTACTACCTCATGGACCTTTCCTTCTCCATGAAAGACGATTTGGAAAACGTTAAGAACCTCGGTACTGATCTCATGAGAGAAATGCAGGAAATCACCTCAGACTTCAAGATTGGTGAGGGGAACACTCGACTTTCAGCGAAGGCGGCGTAGAACCTGCAGCGGCAACGACAAAGTTCTCCTGTTTTTCAGGTTTCGGCTCCTTCGTCGAGAAGACGGTCATGCCGTACATCAGCACCACCCCGGCCAAGCTGCTGAACCCCTGCTCGGGCAACGAGAACTGCACCAGCCCCTTCAGCTACAAGAACGTCCTGAAACTGACAAACAAAGGAGACGACTTCAACCGGCTGGTCAGTCAGCAGCAGATCTCAGGAAACCTGGACTCTCCAGAGGGGGGGTTTGACGCCATCATGCAGGTGGCGGTGTGTGAGGTGAGCACTGTTCCTCCATTCAACCGTTTTGTCATGAAGAAATTCTCCACATGAGTTCTATCTCAACAAGAGGACCCTCTTTTTGACCCCAGGAGCAAATCGGATGGAGGAACGTGACCCGTCTGCTCGTGTTTTCCACCGACGCTGGTTTTCACTTCGCTGGAGACGGCAAACTGGGAGGCATTGTCCTGCCCAACGATGGGAAGTGTCACCTGGAGAACAACATGTACACGATGAGCCACTACTATGTGAGTGACTTTATTTATTTGACCTGAATACGTCGAGGCCTAATTTAATGTCGGTTTCACAAGTTTTTTTTTTCCACATGTAATTTAATGGGTAAAGACGAACAGCAGCAGCAGCTATCTATCACTTTCAGTCATTTCCAACAGAAATATTAACAATAGTGTAAAATTTATACTTTTTGTAAAAGTTTACAAAACATTGTTTACATGAACCGCTGGCAAACTTTGAGATTTGGAGTGGTCGTAGGACTTTAGAGATCCACCTTGTCCTTCTTGACACCATGTGCCCCTTTCAGTTTCTAGCTATTGTTCTGCTTTAAGCTAGCTTTGTGCTACTTTTAGCAACTATTTACTGTTTTGCTTCTTTTAGCTTGACCTACTATTTTGTTGCTTTTAGTTAGCCCTTAGTTAGCCCTACTTAAGCTTTTTAACTAGTTATACTTTTAGCTTTTAGGTGACTTTTTGCTGATTTTAGCTTCTTGTTAAAATTTTGCTCCTATTAGTTTCTAGCTACCATTTTGCTACTTCAACTAGCATTTTGCTACATTTAGTTTTCAATTAGCCTTTGGCTAATTCAAACTAGCTTTTTGCTAATTTATCTTCTCATTGTTTTGCCCCTTTTACTTTGTAGATAAAGTTTTACTGCTTTTCACTACAGTAAATTTAGTTTTTAGCTAGCATTTTGCTGCTTTTAGCTAGCCTTTTGCTGCTTTTAGCTAGCCTTTTCCTACTTGCTATTTCTGCACCTTTGTGTTTCTTTGAGCTAGTGTGTTACATTTAGCTTCTAGCTAACCTTTTGTTTTACTTTGTGCTATTTTCGCTACTTTTTAACTATTTTCCTTTTAGCTTTTTTTTAAATCGTTTTACTGCTTTTAGCTAGCCCTTTGCTACATTTAACTATTTGCTCATTCCAGCTGTTTTGCTACTTCTAGCTTTTTACTTTTTGTAGTTTTGTTCAAATTTAATTAAATAATTAGTTACGGGTATTTAATTGATCTTTTTAAGATTCAGATATTCTTTATTGTCATTCACACCTCATGTGGTACATGTGGTGGAACGAAATTATGTACACAGGGTCCCAGTTACATCCAACAATAAAATGTATAAGAAAAACGGTAATAAGATCTAAGATATGAACTAAGAAAAACATCAACTAAATAGGCACTAAGCACTAACAGCATAAAAACAATATGCTGAAGAGCAGCACGAACATGAGGTGGTAGCGATCCACTTTGTCCTCATTTGGACCAGTCTTGTTTAGGGGGGTCCTATCCTGGTCTTTGAGGGCCACCATGCCTGTTTTAGCCGTTTCCCTGCTCGTCAGCAGATCTTTGAGTTTCACTCATTCATTCAAATCAGCTGTGTCAAAGCAGATGACCCAACCTAAAACGATCTGTGCTGTCCCTTTTAAGAATTACTTAAGTTTAGTGGTCAGATTTAAAATGTCCCCCCCCCCCCCCCCCCCAGGCTTTTTACGCTGAGTTGTTGAGTTGGGGTTTTTGTGTGTTTACAGGATTACCCATCCATTGCTCATCTGGTTCAGAAACTGAGTGACCACAACATCCAGACGATCTTCGCTGTAACCGAGGAGTTCCAGCCTGTTTACCAGGTTAACCTGTCATACTGGCCACACGGTCTAAATCAAAGCTAAAAACATAAAGATCAGTTATGTCAGCTGCATTTTTCATGTTACACTTTTTTTTTTTTTTATTATTATTTTATAGGAGTTGAAAAATCTTATTCCCAAGTCAGCTGTCGGCACTTTGTCCTCCAACTCCAGCAACGTGATCAAACTCATCATCGACGCCTACAACGTAAGAAGACACACAGCACTGACCGGCTCTCACAGCAACTCGTTCAGATGAAGTTTAGAAAACGAGGGACGCGTCTCCAGCATTTTGCCTCTTTTAAACACACCGAGAGCTCCAACAGTGAAGGAACAGTTTGAGCATCAATCTGTGTTTTATTTTCTCTAGTCGTTGTCGTCTGAGGTCATCCTGGAGAACAGCAAGCTGCCAGAAGGCGTGTCTCTCTCCTACAAGTCCATCTGTAAGAACAACGTGGTGGGAACGAGCGAGAACGGCAGGAAGTGCTCCAACATCTCCATCGGAGACGAGGTAGGGCGGATTTGTTTTGCTGGTTTTAGGAACGTGGGGACGTTTTGTCCAAGGTGTTGAATCCTGTTGAATTTTTTTATTGACTGAGAACCCTCCGGTTCTGAAACATGAAGGTTTTAAACTGTGATTAACTTCTAATATAATGGAAAGCCTGCTAAATTAATAGTCTGAACGCTGAATCAGGATTCTGACTATTTACTGTTTTATTTATTTTATTTTTCTACTTCTGGAAACTTTCAGCTGTTTTAGCCATTTGTGTATCGAAACGTTCAACTCTTTCAGGAGATGAAGTGATGTGACTTTTGGCTTTTGTAACTTTTATACTTTAATAAGCTTTCATGTGCTACTTTAGGCTTTTAGAAAGCATTTAATTAATTTAACCTTTTCCTGCTTTAGCTTTTTGCTGCCTTTGTTAATTTTAACTAGTTTATTTTTTATCTTTTACCTGGACTTTTCCTTTTTTTTAAGCTTCTCTTTAACATTTTTTGCTTTTTCAGTTTATAACAAACGTTTTTCTGCATTTAGCTGTTTCTTATCCTTTGAGCTAGCATTTTGCATTGTGCTTCTAGCTAGCCTTTTGCTATTTTGGCTTCCATCCATCCTTTGTTTGACTTTGAGCTAACATTTTATGTTTAGTTTCTAGCTAGCCTTTTTCTACTTTTAGCAACCAGTTACTGTTTTGATACTTTAGGTTTTTGTTATTCTTTGGTACATTTAACCAGTGTTTTACTTTTAGCTAATAGGCAGCTTTTTGCTGATTTTAGACTCTCAATGCCACGTTTCCTTTGAGTGTTTAGCTTCTTTCAAAATGGAAGTCAAGTTTTTTTTTTCTTTTACTTTTTTGGATTCTTTTTTTTTTTACGTTTCGCTTCTAGCTAGCCTTTTGCTGCTTTTAGCAACTAGTTACCATTATGCTAATTTTAGCTCTATCACTTTGTTTCTTTGAGCTATCGTTTGACTACATTTTTTATGTAGCCTTTTGCTAATTTTAACGTGTTCACTTTTCAGCTTCTTCTGTAAAGTCATTCAGATTCACTCTTCTGTAATTTAAAAATACTTCTCCCGACTTGTTTTAATCGGATCTAATTAGCGTTTCATGTGGATGAAGGCTCGGAAATCGAAGACATTTTTAAAATTATTTTCTCACCCTGTGGTTTGTCCTTCCTTCGGTCTCCAGGTCCATTTTGAGATTTCAGTCCAGTCCCTGAAGTGTCCCTCTCATGGAAAACCTGAGACCATTACAATAAAACTTCTGGGCTTCACCGAGGAGGTGGAGGTGGTTCTGAATTTCATCTGCGACTGTCAGTGTGCTGCGGCAGGAGTACCCAACAGCCCTGCATGCGACGGAGGCAGCGGGACGTTGGAGTGTGGGGCCTGCAAGTAAGCTCTAACGTTTTGAAATTATACTTTAAAAAAATCTACAACCTTTTCAGGAAGTATCCATCCAGCCAGACACCTAAACAGCTCGTAGCAACAGGCCCCCAATCCCATACTCGTGGAGCACCTCCTCCCCCACTTCAAGGAACAGAGTCGAAAGCCTTCCCCAAGTCTACAAAACACATGTAGACTGGATGGGCAAACTCCCATGACCCCTCGAGGACCCTAGTGAGGGTAAAGAGCTGGTCCAGTCTCCCACAGGCAGGACGGAACCAGCATTGTTCCTCCTGGATCTGAGGTTCGACCAACGATCGGACTCGCTTCTCCGGTACCCCTGAACAGACCTTACCGGGGGGGCTAAGGAGAGTGATGCCCCTGTAATTGGAGCACACCCTCCTGTCCCCCTTTTTGAAGAGGGGAACCACCACCCCAGTCTGCCAGTCCAGTGGCACTGCACCCGATGTCCACGCGGCGTTGCAAAGACGTGTCAACTAAGACAGCCCCACAACATCCAGAGCCTTGAGGAAGTCGGGGTAAATCTCATCCACCCCTGAAGCCCTGCTGCCGTGTAGCTTTTTAACTCCCTCTAAGACCTCAGCCACAGTTATGGACAGACAGACCAACTCTGAAGTCCCCCAACTCAGCTTCCACCATGGAAGACATGCTGGTGGGATTGAGAAGACCCGAGAAGTATTCCTTCCACCTCCTGACGACATCACTGGTTGAGGTCAACAGCACCCCACCTTCATTGAACACATTGTTAGTAAAGTGCTGGTTTCCCCTCCTCAGCCGTCTGATGGTTTGCCAGAATCTCCTCGGAGCCGACCAAGAGTCTCTATCCAAGGTCTCACCGAACTCCTCCCACATGCGAGCTTTTGCCTCAGCAACAGCCGAGTCTGTGGACCGCTTGGCCCTTCGGTACTCCTCAGCTACCTCCAGAGTCCCACTGGCCAACAAGGACCGATGGGACTCCTTCTTAAGCTTGACAGCCTCTCTAACCCGAGGCCCGTCCCCCCACCCGAAGGTGCAGGGAAGCTACTCTCATCTACCGGGGAAAACTCCAACACAAAGGCACCAAGTCGGTGGGGTAGTAGAGCCACACCAGCTTGGTACCTCTCACCACGGGCAACTCCAGAGTGGAATAAGGTCCAGTTCCTCTCAAGGAGATCAGTTCCAGAGCCCATGCTGAGCGTCGAGGTGAGTCCAACTGTATCTAGTCAGTACTGCTTAACCTCACACACAAGCTCAGGCTCCTTCCCCACCAGAGAGGCTGCATTCCATGTCCCAAGAGCCACTTTGGTAAACCAGGGTCAGAGCACTGCTTTTGACCACTGCCCATGGAGTCATGCACCTGACCCGTATAACCCCTCCTGCAGGTGGTGGGCCCACAGGAAGGCAAACCCATGTTGTTCATTCGAGCTGAGGGGTAGAGACCCGGTCACCAGGTGCTTGCTGAAGAGCCCCTCCCCATGGCTTGGCTCCAGGGTGGAGCCCCCGTAACCCACGTCGGGCAAGGGACACTGAATTCCTTGTTCTTCTTTGTCCCTACAAGTGTTTTTCAGGAAGTAACAAACATTTTCTGTTGTAGGTGTAACGATGGACGCATCGGGCAATTCTGCGAATGCAGCAAGGACGATGTCCGAACGGACGACATGGACGCAAACTGTCGAAAAGACAACGGCACGGACATCTGCAGCAACAACGGGGAGTGCGTCTGCGGTACCTGCATCTGCAAGAAGCGTGAGAACCCTGCAGAGGTTTACAGTGGCCAGTTCTGCGAGTGTGACAACTTCAACTGTGACCGCTCCAGCAACAAGCTCTGTGGAGGCAAGGAGTAATAAAAGATTAAAAATATATATATTTAATTTGTTGTTAACTCTTTAATAATTGTAATACTCCATGCGGGTTACCAGGACATGGGCGCTGCGAGTGTAGGGTGTGCGTCTGTGACAACAACTACACGGGCAGCGCCTGCGACTGCTCCATGGATAACTCCACCTGCATCGCCAAGAACGGGCAGATCTGTAACGGCCGTGGGAACTGCGAGTGCGGGATCTGCAAGTGCACCGACACGAAGTTTCAGGGTCCGACCTGCGAGGTGTGTCCTACCTGCCCAGGTGTCTGCGCAGAGCACAAGTGAGTCTGAACGTTGACGTGTTCGGTTTCTGCGTCTCTATCAGCCACAAATGTTGCATAACAGGAAGTTTAGAGGCTACATGGCTGGTTTAAAGGACTATATTGGGAAAAATGTTTCTTAAAAGCTAGAAAACATAAGGAAAATGCAAATTTGTGTAAATAATTTACAAAAAATTAAGATGAGTCATTTTTTCTGTTAAGATTTAATTTTTCAGCCTGTTTTCTGAAAACAGTTATCCAGCGGTACTCAGATTTAAGCTCCGCCCTCAGCCAAAAGACCAATAAAGTTTTCGCCTGTGCCTTTGTGTCCATTTGTCTGTGCTGTTAGCAAAATAGCTCATGAATCGCTGAATGAAATTTTCAGAAAATAATTATAGCGTTGTCTAAAACTGATTTAACTTTTCAAGTTGAACCAAGTTCAAGATGGCCGCCACAGCAAAACAATTTTAGCAAACTTTAAAATCAACCAATTTTGCAGATATTGAGCTAAAATGTGTTGTGGTTGTAGCTGAGACTTATTCACAACGTGTACGCTGAGCGTTCATGAGAAACATCGAAGCATCACATGCGACCGTGTGACATTTTTCAACAAAAGATTATCTTAGTTTAAAACTCAGTCATGAAAGGTGGCGGGCGACATGCATTCCTTCGAAGAATGCTCAATTCTGGGGTTGCTTTGAGGCTCCAAGACTTTTCTGTTGAACAAGAGTGGTTCATTTTTAATCATTTGACTTGGTCTGCTTCTCTGGACGACTGACCTCGATGCAGCTCGGAGTGACGCCTCGTCATGTCTGTGTCTTCTCAGGGACTGTGTTCAGTGTCTGGCCTTCAACACCGGTGAGAAGAAGGAGTCGTGCAAACAGGAGTGCAAGAACTTCAATCTGATCAAAGTGTCTGAGAGGGAGAGCCTGCCGCAGCCCACCGATGACCCTCCTCGAGCCATTTGCAAAGAAAGGGACGAAAACGACTGCTGGTTCTACTTCACCTATTCCATCAGGGATGACGTCAAGGAGGTCCATGTGTTGAATAAGCTAGGTAGGGTTCATTTTTCCTCCCTGGTCAGTCAAATCATGTTTGATTTGGTTGTTCAGCCATGTTTTCTGTGCCTCAGAGTGCCCGGCCGGACCTAACATCATCCCCATCGTGGTCGGAGTCGTGGCAGGCATTGTGATGATCGGCCTCGCCCTGCTGCTCATCTGGAAGCTGCTCATGATCATCCACGACCGCAGAGAGTTCGCCAAGTTCGAGAAGGAGAAGATGAATGCTATCTGGGACACGGTGAGTCAGTCACTCACGTGGGTAAAATACGACTTGTCAAACAACCCCCAAAAAACTGAACGGCTTAAAATAAATCAACAAAAAAATGTTTTGTAACCAAATCCAGCAGTCGCTAAAGTCTTATAAAACACAAATAGCTAAACCAATTTTCCAGATAATTGGCAAAAATTTGTTGTGGTAGTAGCTGATTGTTGCCCTCAACTCATCCTCTGAGCGCCAACAGATCACTCATCACGAGAGCGCACGTTCATTCAACCTTTATTTCTACAGGTTAGTCTCATTGAGCCTCGCGGACTCTTTTACAAGAGAGTCGTGTTTAAGAAATGCACGTGATGCTGTTTTCAGTGCGTGACTAAAATAGCTACAACTTCAATATATAATGATCTTGGTCTAAAACTCTGGAAAATAAAAGCAGCGAGCAGCATGTGTTCTTTCCTGATGTCACGGTTTGATAGAACCATTTCCTCGCAGCAGAAACGGGTTCGACTCCCAACCCGGACCCTTCTTCCTGGAGTTTGGGTTTATTTTTACCGTGCACTCCGGTATCTTCTCACAGTCTAGAAACGTGAGCGTTTGGTTCATCTGCAGCTCTCAACTGGCCCTAGGTGTGAGCGTGATGATTGTTTCTAAGTGATGGACTGGGGTTTTCTCCGAGGTGTACCCCACCTCCCACCCAGTACCCCACTGGAGATGATCCTGTCCGGTGACCCTGAACAGGATCATCTGGATGTAAAAAATGGATTCTTGCTGGATTTGTTTTAGTTTGTCCACTGATATAGAAGCATTTCTTAAAGGAATATTTAGGCCTGTCACAATACCAAATTTTGCCGTGCGATTAATTGTCTGAGATTATTGCGATAAACGATATTATTATTTTAAATTTGACAATAATTAGTAATTATCGTCAAAATTAAAAGGAAATGTTATTAATTTTATTTTGAGTGTAGTACATTTTTTTCAACCACCTGATGGCAGTATGACTGTTTGAACTGAAGGATAGATAGTGAGGGAGCGAGCAGCGTGTCTCTTTAAGAAAAATGGGAAGGAGGCCCCTTGACGTGAAATGGGCTGTCTCTCTTTGGTTCTCAAAATGGTGGACACTCAGTGTGGTTTGAGCTCTTTAGCATAGCATTTGTCACACAAAGCTTTTAATAAAAAAAATCAGTAAACAAGTTCTCAGCTTCTTTTTGCAGAGAAAAACAACTTTTTACACGAAGACACGAGTTTCAACCGTGAATTTTGGAGCTTCGACAAGACGGAGGTTTTTCCTGAGGTCGGCCTGTTAGCTTAACTTCTCAGCTCAGCTGCTTTTAATGATCCCAAAATGCGATTTTGGATGGTTAAAACAGATTTTAAAGAGCAAAGAGAAAGGGAGGGGTCAGTGAAGAGCACCGGAGTTGAGTCTTTTGTCGTCCAGTGTCTTCAGTAGAAAGAGAGAGAGAAGAAGAAATGATGAAGCCGATGATGTTGATCATTTTTATTTATCGTGCGATGAACTGATTTATTGTTTTTCGCGACAGGCCTAGGAATATTAATCTTTTATTAGCATTGATGTATCAAATTGCAGTGATTTGATGTTTTCTGCTCTCAAATCGTAGTTTTTTGAGTGTATTTGTAGAAAAATGCTGTGGATAAACAAGTTAATCCTAGTTAAGAAGAACCATGTTTGAGCATAATGAAGCTCTGGCCCTCGTGCAGCTTCTGTGCTCCGTTTTAACGAGGGAGTGGCCTTTTGTTCAGCTTTTGTTGGTGCTGCCGCTCGCTGTCCTCGTGCTACAACTGCACAACCATAAAAGGCAGCGAGCTGCATGAAAGCTCCTCTGCTGGGTGGCAGGCAGTTTATGAACCCAGGGCCGACCTTTGTCTCAAATTACAGTTATTTACCAAAACCAGAAACTTCTGCATCTCTCCTAATAAATGTGTTGCAGTACGGGCAGTGCTGCTAGGTAAGGTTTTATTGATTACATGAACATACTTCCTAGTTTACACTTGTTTAAATAAGACAAATAAAAGCAAAGACAGACGGAAACATAAAGGTAATATAAAACAATACGCCCATTCAGTTAGCGGAACAAAAATACTTTTTGGTTGTTTTTATTTTAGCTCTTTGGTCAACGTTTTCCTTCCAGATGTTGTCTATACTTTCCAGTGCTTTTTAACTTAAATTTAGATCTTTCCTTTTCATCATCCACATTAGCAAGGGGCTACGTTTCCGCGAGGCATATTGGATTAAAGTCAGACAGAATGATGTGGAGACAACATGTCAGCGTTTCTAAACACAGGCTTCAGTTCGTTTTGGGGTTTTGTTCTCCAACAACCCTGTGTTTTTGTGTTACGATGCCAAAGCGTCTCCCACGGCTGAAGGTGAAAAGGCGTGTTTGTTTGTCATGTTAGTGAAATATCCCGTGAAACACCGGACAGATTTTTAATGAAACCATCAGTGTAATCATTAAATGTACATCTTCTACTGATTAACTGTTTGAAGTTTTCTAAGTGGATGTTTCAGTTGATGATGGAGTTGGAGGAAGGAGATCTGGTGTTTCTGTTGTTAACTGAAGAGAAGCGCTTTTTTTGTAATGAACTGCACTTACGTATATAATGCTTTTCTATCTTATCAAGATACTCAAAGCACTTTAAAACACAATCTGTGCCCTCATTTACCCATTCATACAGCACTCTACTAGATCTCTACAAAGCTAATCTGAATCTGTAGAGATTAATCCGTGCTTTAATCACATTCATACACCGATGGGACACACATCGGAGGCAGTGAGGGCTTCAGTGTCTTGCCCAGGGACACGTCGGCATGTGACTGCTGGTGGAATCGAACCCCCATCTCTTGCATTGGAGGACGACAGCTCTAACCACTCAGCCCATCTATACACGGCCACTGTTTCCATCAGACGGTGCGATAACTTGCCCCTACGCTCCCCAGCGAGGAGCACTACATCTCTGTCAGCGCAGCATTTGAGAGCCACCGCCGCCGGTTCTCCTTGCAATCTCCTGTAAGCACAAAATTGTCCCATCCCTTATTACGAGTTATTTGATTATCTTTATTAGTTTCATTTGTCTTTAGTTTTCATTTTTTCTGGAACAGTTGTAATGCTGGTTGTCTTTTCTCACGCTCTCGGCTAGCAGCTCTTCAGCAGACGTCGCTCTCAGAGCAGCTCACTGCAGCCACTTTGCATAAACAAGCACACCCACATGGTTCTGACCAATCACACAACACTCACCACAAAATCCTGTGAGATCTAGCTCTGACTGTGCACAAGAAGGGGTGTCAACAGTAAGTGTAGAAAACTACCGTATTTTTCGCCATACACGTCGCTCCGCCCTATAAGTCACATCAGTTCAAATATGTCTAATAAAGTGGAAAAATCCATAAATACGTCGCATCTATTATGTATCACCGCTGACAACCTGGAAATGTGGGCCGGTGTTGTGCCAAAAATCGATTGGCTGCCAAATGGCGGCTGCCAGAGCGTGCATGGGGGGATTTTAAGAATCAGAATAAGCTTTATTATCATTGCACCGAGATACAACGAGAACATGTACATGCAGTCGTCCGGAAGATGGACGGAGTGCACGAAGCTGCTGCTGTAAGCGCGGCCTCTCTTAGCCTTTTTCAGAATAATAATCTTAGGTAGGAAAAGGGGGAGAAACATGTGGCTAGATAGTAGTAGTTAACATGAATTTAACAAGATTAACACTTAAAAACAATTATTAGTTTGCTCAAAATCATAGCAAAGTTGTGTCTCAGTGCCTTTCCTTAATAAATGCACTTTGACGGTCAAATCTGATGCATTATCAAAAGTTGATACGCAGAAACAGGAATGCGCAGAGGGCGACTCGCTGTGCATTTCTTCTAAATTTAACAAGATAACCATCTTAAACAATTATTTGTTTGCTCGACATTATAATAAAGATGTGTCTCCGTTGAACTTTTACTTTAATAAATGCACTTTAATGGTCAAATCAGCTGCATTTTGCAGGGACGCCGCAGCGAAAGGAAGTTGATTTGATGGTTGCTCCAAGCGAGCTGGATGAAGGTGTCAGGCTATGGCAAGCCAATTGTGTCATTAATAGCCACTTTTACTAGTTACATGACGCAACGGCATGCCATACTACTAGTGTGCAATCCAGCGGCTGAAAATGGTAGTGTTCAATATTTTCCATCAGAATGAATGAAAACCGTCATATTTCAGCCAAAAATTGGTTTAAAAATATGGGGAAAATCCATAAAAACGTTTTTTTTGGGGGGCCGAGATGGTGTAGAGGCAGGGCAGCCGGCTTGGGACCCGAAAGTCCCAGCTTCGATCCCCAGTCACAGCACATCACGTGGCGTCTCTGGGCAGCACGCCTCATCCCCAAACTGCCTCCCGGGCGCTTTCAATAGCTGCCCACTGCACCACCTGGTGGTAGATGGGTTAAATGCAGAGACTAATTTCGCCATTGTATGGAAACATACAGTGCTGACATTGTGATGACATTATTATTATTATTATTATTATTATTATTATTATTATTATTATTATTATTATTATAAGTCGCAGGGCATAAAAATTATACAAAAAAGTTGTGACTTATAGGCCGAAAAATACGGTACCTAATTTTCGTCACGCACACGCGTCATTGAAACACGAGACTGTCCCTTCTCATCGACTCAAACCAGGCTTTAACTTGGAGATAAAGCAATCTATCAAACACTAAATTAGAAAATTGCTTATGCTTTTTGTATCGTTTTAACCATTTTATAGCTTTTTTTTTTTTTTTTTTTTGTATCGTTTAAAATAATTTTGTCATCTGTGGTTTAATATTGATAATAGTCCAAAACAAAACTCTGGACACACAAGACAAAGACAAAAAACAGAAATAAATTTAATTTTTAGGCTGTTTTCTGTAAAAATCCCTGCGTGTTCTCATGAACGTTTCTGAAAAACAACCGTCCACAGGACAAAGCTCAGCTGTTGGGGACCGTGCAGGACACAGATTTCAGAAGTCAAAGCTGAACTCACCTTGTCGAACACGTCCGACCCGAGTTTCTCCTCGAGCCGAACGAGGCCTTGTTGTTTTTTTTCCTCTCGTTTTAACATCAAACTGGTCACTCTTGTTGACCCATTCACTCACTTTTGCTGCTCTTTATTTGTGTTTTTTAGGGCGAGAATCCAATCTACAAAAGCGCCGTAACGACTGTCGTCAACCCAAAATACGAGGGCAAATGATGGAGCATGGCTCTCTTTGTGACAACACTGTATGGAGAAGAAAACAGGCTTGGTGGGGTGGGGTGGGGGTGGGGGTCAATGGGTTTCCTTCTTTTGTTTTTCTTTTTTACAGCAAAGCTCATTTTATTGTTATAGTCACCAAACGCATTTTGCCACTGTTCGTTTTACTAACTTGTTTTGATTTGCTATGCATCATCTGTAAAGTTTGTTTTATTGTGTGGAATGTGAAAAAAAATGCTTTTGTTATTATTAATTGGCCTGGTAATGGGGGGAGGGGGGGGGTACTGTGCCTTTTTATAAGTAGAAGCCATCAGTGTTCTGTGCAGGGTTTGATCGGATGTTATTAATGAAGAGTTGGACGCAGTCAGTCAAAGTTTAGGAGGAAAACGAGTGATCAAAGGTCTTAAGATCGATTTGCCTTCTGACCAAAGGTCTCGCGGTGCTCTGGATCATGTTGACTGAACACTTCTCTCTCTTTTTAAATGTTTGTTTGGATTGGCGAGCATGGCAGCTGTGAAATGTGTACAGTATGTTTAAGGTTCTGTGCGAAGCCATACATGAATTTGCATCATAGGGTTCCAGGAGGTCATAGCTTTCTATTCTTAATTCATCAGATAAAACATTTGCAATATTTTATTTCTCCTGCCTTCTTAGAGGAAAGAACATCAATTTACAACAGAAATACTGTTTCAGTTTTAAGTTTTGTTTGCTAAATTCAACTCAGGTCTTTTATTTCTCAACAGCATTACCAAATATATGCCTTTTTATGCTAGATTTGTTTGTGCTAAATGTCTGTTTTTAACATTAATTACAAATACAAATTTTCTCCCTTAGCTGTTTTTTTGACACCTTGATCAAACATTTTGTATTAAGCAATCAGGAGTAGTGAGGAAAAGAATAATGTGGAAAACACATTTTTGTTGTTTAAAAAACAAACTGTCACCATTGCTTAAAGTGCCTTTTATTTGTTTCTACAAAACAGTCATGCAAGCCTATATTCTGTAATTATTTATTGAATAAACCTTCAAAACGTTTTACCCCATTAAGACGTTACTGTTTTGTGGAAATGTTTCTTTCAGCTGCTCCCTTCAAGGGTGTCCACAGCGAGCGAACTCGCATGGTTTTTGCAATTGTTTAACGCCGGACGTCCTTCCTGATGCAACCTGGACTCGAACCTGCAGCTTCAGAATTAGGAGACTGTGGCGACAACCCCTGACCCACAGCAGCCCCCATGTTTTTGTGAAAATATCCTAATCTGGTTTTTGACAAGCTATGTTATTAATATTTAATGGAATAGCTGAACAAAACACAGAAAACTAAACTGGTCTGAATTGGTCAACCATTAAACTAGTACCACAAACTTTCATGTTTTGACCTATGATATAAAGGTTTTAGAAACACCTGACCTGAAATATTGATTGATAAGTATAATTTAGAGTCGGTGTTCGGAACGACACAGGGTCCCAGTTGCATCCCACAATAAAATGTAAAAGAAAAACTAATAAGATCTAAGATATGAACTAAGAAAAAAAAATCACCTAAAAATACACTAAGCACTAACAGCATAAAAAACAATACGCCGAACAGCACATAATTATGCTAATAAGACATTATCTACCAATATGTTGGTATTTTCTCTATGACCATTGTTCTTGTCTGTAATGTTATGACTAAATATGCTATTTGCAACTTTTTAATTTACAGTAGTTAATTATATCGTGTTCGTGCTTCAGTCTTTTCAAAGCAAAACAAAATATTTGTAATATCTTGTAGTTTAGCTACAGTTGCCACGAGATAAAGCATGTAATAAGCAGACCAAAACAATCCGCTCGTCATTATTTCCGTGTTTGACCCATTTGTGTCTGCAACAGGCTAACATGCTAGCAGCTAAAGCTAACGCAAATACAGCGCCAGCCAATCACGTTCTCTGTTTTGCGTGACGTCACGAGCCACGGACTCTCCGCAGGTGATTGGTGGCCTCGGCTGACCAATCAGAGCGCGCCTCTCAGCAAAGTTGTTAACCCCCAACAGTAGCACTTTGGTTTTCCACCTCTAGTTTCATGCTCGTAGCGCAACGGCAGCGAAATCCGGAGTTTTCACCGACCGGGGGACGTTATCCGTCGGGGTGGACACAAACCGGACAGCGGGTCCGCTTCACTGACGGTGGTGGGGTTTATCACGAAACTACCAGGAGCGACTTGCCGACGCTACCGTTACGGTTCCACTTGGCTCCCCCTCTCTCTTCGCTGCGTCGTCGTGTTTCTTTCTTTTTTTTTTTAAACTTCTGACTTGCAGAAATGTTGCCCGTTTATCTCAGAAGCCTCGACATGTTTGGGAAATTCCACTTGGTGAGTATCTTTACTGTTACGTTTTCAATTTGAGTCGGCGCTCGCCATTTAAACAAATAAATAAAAATAAAAGGAGGAGGAGGAGGAGGCCCATCGTGATTAGTGTTTTCTGGCATCAGATGATTTCATACACGCAATCAAATTCCTGGCGATTCAGCACCAAGTTCCCGCTGACTCCACCAGCCCAGCTGAGGTGGATTCAAACGATGGAAAATGAGATTTAAAGAGTAAATCTGTAGTTGTCAAATTAAAGGGGACAAATAAAAACGCCGGAAATCAGATTTGGCTTGTTTTGGGGGAGGAAGCGTCAACAAATGGCGGATCCTCTCCCTTTTAATGTGGTTTCTCTTTAGGGAGTTTCCTGCATGTTGGTTGGAAATCTAAACATGTATGTAATTAATTTATGTATTTGGTGGATCATATGGTTTGGGTGTGTGTGACTGAACAGTGCCAGGCTGTCCCTGTGGTCTGTCCTGGAACTGCTCGGCCTGGCTCTGGATCCTGCACCTTTTTATCCAGAACCATCATGGACCATCTGTTCTGGTTTGAATCAGGGCTGCATCCTGTTTGGCACGAGTTGAAACGATAATGGCTCCTTTTTGGGGTGATGAGATGGACAGGATGTGCCACACCTGTTCACCCAGGTGAGCTGTAAAACAGGTTCTAGGTCTTTCCTGGGCTTACCTGGACTGTTGTGGGACACATGTCGTCTTCATGCCAACCCAAGTCACACACGTGTGTTACAATATTTAAAACCTCAAGGTAGAAAATCCAACAAAGTTAAGTTTGTTTTTGTTGAGACGTTTTCGTCTTTCATCAAAAAGACTTCATGAGTCCGAGGAGCCACAACAAACTCAGTCTTATAAATAGCACCTTCACATAGTGGGTCAACCAGTTTGATGGTGCTAAGATGGTTTCTGGAGTCCGCCCTCTCCCCCTTCCTACTCCTTTCATGGCTAAAGGGTTCAAAACTATTGAAACGATAATAATTAAACATTTAAAATCTTTTTCTCCATATTTTAATCCTACTGAACTTTAAAAACTTTTCTTTATTGCTGCGTAAAGCTACCGTTTGTGTGTCCCCATCGCAACAAATCCGGGATTAAATCGGGTTTAGTCAAACTAGACTGAGCACATTTTTAGATTCTTGGCTTTTGAAGCTACGTTTGATACAGAGACCATCATCACGACTGGTTCCAGGGTTTGATTTGTCTTGCAAGTCACAGGTACCCCGGGAAAATTGGTCTGAATCTCGTATTTGCACGTATTCTAGTGAGGATTTCTTGACGTTGTTTAAAAGAGGAATCCTCAAATCATCTTTAAATGTCGGGATTTCCCAGCTGGTATTGAAAATATCTTTTGCTAGCTCGCAGCGAAAGCAGTAGCAGCAAACATTTAGGGCTTTCTGTTGAATATTATTTTATGGTGCTGCTCATGAAAGTGCTTCAAATCATTCTTTAGGGTGTAGAAAAATATTTCACACACTTCCTTCATTGAGGACATGGATATGATGATTTATATGATTCAGTGAAAATCTAACATTTGCTAAATTTTCAACCAGTGCCACTATAGCTGCTGTATCTCTACATTACCTGATGACTGAAGTCTCGATTGGATGCAGGTGTGCACTCAATGTAAACAAAGCACCAAAATGGCCTTGAGCGCTTGAGTCCCCTCTATGTAGGTAAACTAATTTAGCAAAATCAGACAAGTTTAACGTCTCGGAAGACGTTCAGGTGAAGATGAGTGAATCTGGTTATAAATGTAAAAAATTAAATTCATATCTAGCGACGTTTCAGCTGCTCTGCAGTCGTTCTGACTGTCAACACTGCACGTAGAGGGCGTTTCATTAACACTAAAGAACATACCGTTAAAATGAATTTTACGTTTTCATATAAAAGTCAATTTAAAAAATGGGTGTACAAGACCAAAAGATGAACGCCAACCTTGAATACAGGAAATGGCTATGAAGGTATTTGAACATGCGGCGCCCAAATTTACACGTTAGCAACTGTGAAAATGTCGACGTGAACATTTCATACAACCGTAACTTCAAAAGCTAAAGTGTTTAAAAAAATATACAAATTTGGTGTCAAATAATCTGAGCTTTACAAAAAAAATAAATCTTCAACTGTACAGATTGTGTCACAAATGAACAGACTGCTGATAAATGTCAGTAGATTAAATTTTAACCAGGTTAAAATTTAATTTCCTAATAACTCCATGAAGTGATCCCCTGTCTGTTTCTGCCCTTGCAGTTTTATTTTGAAAGGATTACATAGTGGGAAGTATGGCCACGGATGATCTAAAGCTTATTGTAAAGATAATTGCATTTTGACCAACAAATTCAAAGAGTACTTTAGTTTGAAATGCTCCTTAAAGTCAACCTGCTGCTGTTACGCTTGTGAGCCGCCGGGCGAGATCGTTACAGCGCCACTCTCACTCGCTGGTTCTGTGGAGCCGACTTCAAATGTGACCCACGTTGGCAAAAAGAGTTGGAACGAGCACTTGCTGCAAAATGAATTTTGTTTTAGATTAGATTTGTATAAAGACGAGTCCATAACGACGCCATCCAGAGATCATGTAGCTAAAACTGCATGTAATTGTCCTTATCTACCTTCAAATCAAACTTTTCTAACAGGTATGTGTTCAGAAATGATTCTTTGACTCATAACCCTTAGAATAGTCTTTGAAATAGACCATTTTTCTCTGCCGGTTGCTATAACTTAGGGAAATCCCTTCGTATCACGTTAGCTTCATCTTAAAGCTTAAGCATTGTCCCGTTTTAAGGTCGGAGCCCACTGAATGGATCCGTGACCCTCATCACAAAATATCTACCGATTGTGAAATGGGGTGAATACATCGGTGAAGACACATTTTCGGGATAGATGAGTTTATGCGAGTTATCCTGCGGATGTTGTTGAGAGATGAACCAACTCATGGTGGACTCAGCTGATCAGCAATTAAATATTTTTAGCTACAGAGCGTCCGGTTAGCGTACAGACTCCCAACGTTGAGTTTGGAAAAGTATTGACAACGTAAACTGATTTGTGTCAAAGCTACAGGGTGTAAAAATACCCAATATAGTGTTTGTTCAAACTGCTTGAATAGTTTTTGAGTTTTAGTTTGGGAGGAATATCGTCTCTGATTATCTTAAGAGTTTCACTGTGCAGGTAAGATACTGACTGCTCATAACGATTCCACACATCCTTAATTTTAATTTAAATAAAAACGCTGAAACTTCTGCAACCAGCTTACTTTTCATGATGGATTTTTTTTTTTCTGAGTTGGTCTGTGCGTCAGGCGTCGTTGGTCTAAAGAAGCATCGTAAACCTGAATACGAACGTTTAGCTCTTTTTAAAATGTTGTTTTTCAGTGCGTAAATTTATTTGTCAGGGCTTGTTTGATTTACATCAAACTAAATGTGACCAAATCTCTCTGGAGAGAAAGCTGCGTTCCCCAACAGATTACAGCAAAAGTCCTGGTTGAGTTTTGAAAACTTGATTTAAACGATTTTCTTTGACTCTCTTTATTATAATTATAATTATTTATGAACCGCAGCAGGTGCGGTTCTGATGGTTTTGTCAGGCAGCGCTGCAAATCAATCACGATCAGGTGGCGTGGAAAGTTTTAGCTTCATCTAAACCTCGTTATTTAACATTAAATATTTTTTTGTCCTGCACACGAAGTCATGAGATTTCCTGCATGACTGGTTGTTGTTTATTTTATTCACATAAACCCAAATCAGAGGTTTTACTACAAACTTTTGCTTGTTTCTCTTCAGAGCATCATGCTGGTCATGGACTCAAATCCTGAGTTTCTCTTCTTGGATACTGGATAAACTCGGCGACGTCATCTGCAACAGGTAAGACGCTTTAACATGATTCTGAACATGAGCAAACTTGAGGTTTTTTGTTTATATCATTCAAATTCGACACTAGATTCACACTCGTATGGACAAAATGCAGTAAAGCCTTGCTGAGAACATCTGTCTTCTAATCGTTTGAACTGAATGTTTCTCGGTTAAAGTTTCTGAAGCTTAGTTCTGCGTTTGTTGAATTAGTGGCTCATTTGGATGTTCTTCCAGAAGGAGGCAGCACAGTGTGTGCACTCGATCCCTTCACCTGGAGTAAATGTTTCCTGTTTACTGGTTCAGGTGTGGCGTCACTCCTGATGCGGTTCGGTGGGTCTGAACGGGTCTTCCAGCTCCGAGGCAACCGTTGCCTCTGGTGTTTCAAAGTGGAGAAAACGTCTCGTTGCTCCAGTTTTCTACAGAGGAATATTTAAAAAGTAACAACTGAGAAAATTCAGCCTGATCAAAGAACATTGTTCTGCTTACCTTTTTAAATTTTTGTTGAGTGATTAATGATCTGCATTGGGATGGAATAGTTTAAGACTTTTTTTTTTTTAATGTATACTATTAGGGATGTATATTGATTGTTTTCTTAAACCGGAGACGGTGAACAAAAAAAAAAAATCGTGGCACGAGTAAACTTTTATTTACATTTTATTTTTGAAAGTTTTATAAATGAGGTAAAACAAGATGAGTACAAGATTTAAAGTTGCAAAAATACAGTAAATAAACCAAGTAGAGCTAAAAAGATGCAACAAAACCATTCGTTCAACCTTTATTTATACACGTTGGTCTCACTGAGTCACGACGACTTCGAGAGACCTGTTTTAGACGTAATGCATGAAGTACAGACAATAATTCAACAAAAGCAATAAAAATCAAATGAAAGAAGTTTAGTCAAATCAAGATGCCACATAAAACAGATAAAATACTAAAAACAAGAACATATTTGCTGAAATGTTTAAAACCCCTTAAAGAAATCAAAATCAATAGCTTCAGATCTTTTTGCAAGGTCTGCAATATACAATAAAACAATATACTTTCATCTAAATATACATACTATTTTGAATCTTATAAAGTATATAGTACTCTGACGTTTATGGCTATAAAATCAAACAAGTTTATTTAACTTGCATTTATTTTTGCTGTATTTCTAATCTTTACTTTTTTGTCTTAGTTTTGATTTAACCTGAGTATTTGAGCTTTTACTATTGTATGCCAAATAAAACTTTTTTTTTTTTTTTTTTTTAAATAAAACAAATTTTACATGATTTATTTTATTGTGGACAGAATTATAACAGGATGTTTATTTTCTTATCATATTTGTAGTTTTTTATTTATTTGTCAAATATATTTTTTTGTGCGTGTTTTGTATATAAACGTGATATTCGGCCCCGCCTGTGTTTTATTTTAATATTTCGCGTGCATGTGGTGCCGGAGACGGGTTTTCTGCGATAAATGCCCCCTTCCCCCCCCATCCCCGGCAACGCGCAAGCGCTCGGGACCGTGTGGGAATGGTCGGCGTGCGGACTGGGGGTTGGACCGCTCCGAGCGAAACACGGCAAAAGAGTTTTAAATGTCCGCCATGTTGTCCATGGCGCGCTGAACCACCGATAGGGAGCGGAGCGTCGGAAAAAAACAGTCCGAGAGCGAGCGACCAAGATCCGGGCCTTCCCCCGGCTCCGCTGGCGACGCCCTAAATCCGAGCTACAACCATTCGAACGTTAGAGACTACCCGAACAGACACCATCCATGAAAGCTCCACTCGGTACCGTTGTGGATATCAGGAGATCGGATAGATTTATATTTCATCTCGAATTGTGAAAAAAAAAATGAGTAAATTGTCGTTTCGGGCACGGGCGCTGGACGCTTCCAAGCCGCTACCCGTCTTCCGTTGTGAGGATTTACCCGACCTACACGAGTATGCATCGATTAACCGGGCCGTGCCGCAGATGCCCACGGGGATGGAGAAAGAGGAGGAATCGGTATGGTTTCATCAGTTTATAAAAATGTTAATTTACACGCTTTTGTTTTATTCGATCGGTGGCGCCTCTCCTTTTTTTTTTCTCTGCGCAAGCTTTCACAAAATGGCCGCCATTTTTTTTTTCTCGGGAGAAACACGACGGATTTCTGTCGCCAACGGCTCGAATGTGGGGCCTGGACGGGCGTTTTGGCAACGCGGGGACACGTTGAGTCCGTTTCGGATAAAATTTCCAGGTTTTGTCGAGTCGTTTGTGCTAGAGATGGTTTTCTGAAAACAAAGGGGTCATGTGACTTCGGCAGTGCCGACATTTTGTGCCGTCTTGTCTGGACGGGGCCTTGTGTTGGCGTAGTGGCGGAGGACCGGCGCCAGGGGGCGCTGGTGCTCCCAGAGCGGAGCCTCTGACATGTCAACACCGCCATGCGTTGGCAGCGAAATGCTTTTTTTAACACTTTAATTCTGCATTTGTTCATATGTAAAGCACTGTTTATGAGCATGCATGTCATTGAAAATGACAACATCCATGTTGTCATTCAGGCCCTGCAGCGGTTGTGCAGTGTTTGAACAGTAAACATCAGCAGGCGTGTGTGTAGCTGACAGATATCATTTAATCTCCCATACACCGGAAGGATTTACTCTTTGCTGTGTTTACTTTTATTCCAGGTCACTGTAAGGACAGGGTGATTTTACTGGAAAGCTGCTGATGAGCTGTAATAACTTGTATTATTAGTTGGTCTCTGTTTGACTGTGAAGCTGTTGAGATTAAGAACTTCAGTTCTTGTGATGTTTTCTCCTCATAGTTTGGGGTCTGGACCCTGTTTTGGGATGTCATCAAGTGATGTGACCTCCAGGACTGTTGGATTAAAAAAATAAATAAATTTCCTCTTTGCATATTTCTTGTTGCACTTGTCAGAACACATGGAAAAATGGGTATTCATAAATGCTACAGTTGCTTGGAAAATTATATGGTTTGCTTTTTTTATTTATTTTAAATTGTTTATTAGTTTAGAATTATTGGTGTCACCATTTTCATGTGGGATGTGCTTTATTACAATAGCGGGTACAGCTCAATTCAAAATATTGGTCTGTTTGAGGCAATGATTCAGTTTACCTCCAAGTCATCGGGCTTTTTATGTGAAAGGCCTCTGTGTCCCAGTTCTGTGTGTCTTGCTGGGACTCTGTGTCATGGGTTCAGTGTGTCAGGTGGCACAGCAGGCTGGCAGACGAGCAGCACGTTTCCTTCAGGAGGAGTTCAGGATGGGGAGGAAAAGGGGGTTGCTGTCACTTGAAAGTCTGCTCCGCTCAGCTGGAGCCCGATTACGTAACAGCTGTATTATCGTAAGACACAGGCTACAGCCCGCTGAGCGCCAGGCACTCTGGAGGAGCTCAAGAGTTTCTGTGTCAGATTAGATTTTAAAGTGTGTTTTGTTGTTGTTGTTGTTTGGTGCTGTTCCTCCTGCTTTGTCCCACACACAAGTACTGCAGGAGAGGGCATTTTCTTTTATTATTTAAAGCAACCGGTGCTTCTCGTAGAATTAAACTGTTCCTGTAGGCAGCGATGCTTGAAGACACTTCCAGGACTTTTTTATTTTCCTCATTTTCATTGTAACTTGATCTTAAACCAAGCAATTCCCTTTTGACTTATCAAATAGGCCAATTATGAACAGTCACTTGTGATAAAATATTTAATCGGAATACAATTTTAGAATATGTTTCAGTCTTAAAACATTCTTTATTGCTTTGTCATAGCCATACCGAACAGCTAGTAAAATAACTTCAGGTCTTGTAAGTTCTCATTGCAAATTATAATATAAAACATTAATAAAAGCTATCCTGAACTACATCATAAGGTGCAGTTTGAAGAGTTCACTGCCTCTCTGTTAGATTTTCAAACCTGTGTGCATACTTTACTCAGCAAATGAGTGTTAATCTGTATTAAAACATCAAAACTGTCTGACCCATCGTTTCCAAATGGTTTTTTAACGGACTGCTGTGGACTTCAGTCCGGTCACTTTGACCATTTCCACAGGTAAACAAATGGCACTGGTAGTTCAGAGCCTTTCACAAATTTAGCACATTTTTAATTTGTTGACAATTTGTCTTTTTTTCATGCATGATCTTCAAAAATTAACATTCATCTAGATTCAGTTTGTGCCCGTAAATGATCCGTGAAACATTAGTTTCCATTGATTTTTGTATTGATCGTTTTTTCTTTAGCACTATAAAGATTTCCCAGAAGGCCTAATTTTATTCATGTGGGGAGTATCTTCATTTCCCAATATGTGAAGAGAGTAAATTAGATTTATTTTGCACACTGTTCAGAAAATTATCAGTTTCCTGTGATTCACTTACCACCTCTACCACACAGACTACCCACTCGGTGTGAAGTGGTCTGCAGACTGAATGTGTGGTGTCCCCACACTTCCTGCTGCTCCGATAACAGTTTTTATCGGTGAGCTGTTGATGGCTACACAGAATTCAGCTTTTGTGGAAACTCTGTAAGAACCAGGCTCTAATCTTTGCTGCTGTGTGTTTTTACCTCTTTAAACAAGTTCTGTCTCAGTCCGACGTGGGTCTGTAGCTTACAGGCACCGTGTGTAAAGCGTGGCTCGGCTGGGATCACTGAAATTCCTGCAGCACGTGCAGCTTGTTTGTTTTGGGTCAAACACTTTGTCTTGTGTTTACGTTTGGTTAAGAGTGAGGTCAGTGTCTGCAGCCCTGGTGGGAACCCACAGGCATCTGCTGGCTTTGTCAGACACCGTTCATACGCTCACACGCACACATTCTGGCAAACAACCAGTTTCTCTGAGTGACCTTGCTGTTTGGGAGTACGCAGCGAGTCACCTGTCTCCCGTCTGCCAGCTACACGCTGTGCATTTAAAAGCCGGTGACGTTGGCCATTTGGCTCCTTAACGTTCGCCAGTGGCAGGTTTGTGTTTGGCACGTACACGAGGAGGAAATGACACAAACCTCCAGGCTTGTTCTTGAACCCAAGCTCACTGCTTGTTTTGTCAGCACAACTTGGAACAGCAAACCCTAAAAATTTGGAACTTGTCAGTCGAGAGTCAGAGATTCTTTGCCGTTAGCACCAGATGTGGTACATGTGGGGGAACGAAATTATGTACACAGGGTTCCGTTGTATAAATGTAAAAGAAAAACAATAACATCCAAGATATGAACTTAGAAAAAAAAAATCAACTAAAAATACACTAAGCACTAGTAGCATAAAAACATTACGTCGAACAGCAGCACGAACATGAGTCTGTGTGAGCAGACGAGCACGCATGAACACACCAACATGAAGCAGATCAGCAGCAACATGAAACAGATCAGCAGCAACATGAAACAGATCAGCAGCAACATGAAGCAGATCAGCAGCAACATGAAGCAGATCAGCAGCAACATGTGATTTTTCACAGTGATTATTCTGGTTAGAGATTCATGTGTCTTAACAGCCTCAGGGTAGAAGCTGTTCCTCAGTCTAGTGGTTCTACACTTAATGCTCCTCAACCTCCTTCCTGAGGGGAGCGGGGCAAAAAGTGTGTGTGCTGGTTGAGTGGGGTCCTTCATGATGCAGGTGGCCCTCTTCCTGCATCTGGATGTGTAAATGTCTGTGATGGTGGGCAGACTGATTCCAACATCTTCTGTGCAGCCTCCATGCCACACGTTGATGCTGGAGCACAGGATGCTCTCCACTCCACACCTGTAGAAGGTGAGGACTGATCTTCCCAGTCCAGCTCGTCTCAGCCGCCTGAGAAAGTAGAGTCTCTGAACTTTCTTGATCAGGCTGGTGGTGGTGTTGCTCCAGCTGAGGTTGTCATTCATGTGTACACTGAACAGGAGTACACATTGTAGCACTAAAGCTGTGTTTTCTTTACTGAACCCTGAAGAATGTCTGTATATATTGTTTTTTTTTTTTTTTTTATACCTTTTGAAACATTTAATTTGTGTATAAATTTTCAGTGATAATCACGATGCTAATCACATTGGCTTTTCCATGTTTTCAGTGTTAGCTGTTATGCTAATTATTGGGTGGCAGCTGGTGAGTAATGAAGTTTTCTGACGTGCACTTTTTTATTAGACCTGAAAACATAAATCTGTTAGTCACACATGTAGGTTCCAATATAATTTAAAGCATCTATAATTGTTCAATAATTGGATCACAGCTCTCTGAATCATAGTCTGATTGTGAGGTGCTTTAAGATTCCCACACCTACTAACTTTATCAACTTTCTACAGTTATGCTTTCTAACTTGAAGCCAGATGGACTCCAGCAGAGTCCAATGGCTGGCATTACCTTACCCCCCCCCCACACACACAAGTTGGAACGTTATCCCATCCGCACAGTGCGATACATTGCTTGTTGTCTCGAGCCGAACTGGACGACCTCCTGCAGCTGTACGTTTATATTGGGTGAAATTTACAGTGTTCAGGAGTGAGCGGTGAAGAGACTTTAGAGGCAGCAGCAGGAGGCTTTGGCTTGCTCAGCAGTCTTGACAGTGATAGATTTGGTCTTTTTTTTTTAAAGAGGCTATTTTTAGACTTGTGTGCTTTGTGTGTGAGGTCAGCAGTTCCTTTTCTGACTTTTGGCGATAACCTTATTTTGGGTTTACTTATTGCCAGGCCATAGCTGGGATAAGTAAACAAACAATTAGGTTTTATCAGTCGATAACATTGTTGCTCGAAGCTGATGAAGCCTTCCGGATGGAAGGTGAAACGTTTCAGGAAAAAGAAACTGTCCAGATGACCTGACTGAAAATTGTTGGATTGTATACCTGGATTATTGAGCATGGACTATTTTGGTTGTTGCTCAAACTTTTTTTGTTTGTTTGTTTTTTTACCAACTTTTCAATCACCGTACAGAGCCCCCAGGAAGCTGCTGGTTTGTCTATTTACTGGAAAAAGGGGTTAATTGAGATCAGATAGGAACATGGAGGTTATTGAACAGCGCAGACACAAAAGTCTTTATGGCGTCAGTTTCTGCAGATCCATAAATTTTAGAGC